CAGTATTCCATCAATGGCGATAAAAAAAAACATGATTTCACAATTGAAGTGTTTCTAGTAAATAAACACAATTAAAATCACTTGTATAAGTTAGTTCATGTGATGTTATCAAAAAAACATGGCGTGCTGTCATCCTCCAACGTCGTCTTGCTGTCGTCATCTCCTTTGCGGCCTGCACCGGTGGCAGATTTGGAAAATTTTGGATTTTTGAAATTCCACATTTCAAAAAGTTGAAAATGTACTCAGACTACTATCAAAATGTATTAAATTTTTTGGCAGAAATGTACTCTTTTTTTTCTATCTACAATGGCCCTAATATGCCGTAGTATTCTTCTTGTGTAACTTCTCTGGCTGAACAAAAGCGAATAGCTGAATTACTAATATTGTGACGTCTGCTGTTGTTGCTTTAAATCACAGAAATGTATTTGAGTCACTGGTTAACAAGCTGCCCTGGTGTTTAATGTGGTGCCCTGACGGGTTAGTTGCTCTGTCAGCAGTTGGTGACTGGTCTCTTCCTGTAAGGCCGTCTCCTTCATCCTTTGAGCTCTGTTTCGTATAAATCCCTCTTGCCTGGGCTGCATTATTGCATGCGTGAGTGGGTGTATGACTGTGATGCACGTGTGTTGTGGTCACCACGGAGATGCCATCTTACCTTATTAATCTGCCCACTCACCACTCTGGTGAAGCTCAGCTGCTTTCTGATCTGTGTTATATTTTAATAGTGTTGGTGGATGGAGGACTGTGTGTACATTCTTTAATGATACATTATTCTGTTGTTCTAATTATGGTAAGCAAGCATGCGCAAAAATTAGCTAAGTAAAAGATTCATCAAGGAATATATATGTTTTGTTGTTGACTTACCGATCCTGTTGGTTGTGCAGGAGGCCTTACTTCTGCTCTTCAAAGATGTATGGTAATGCAGTTGCTCTCTCCCGCCTCCATCATTTCAATCCAACGGCATGGCTTTGTTTGCCAATTATAGTTTGCTTGCAAAGAAAGAACAATGTAAAAGCAAACCGCAGCAGAAAGATTTCTGTCCAGGCCAAACAAGAGGACAAGCGTGTATCTGCTGAGGTGTATGCAGACAGATAGTACACAATATTATTTGATACTATATATTACTCTACACTGATTATATCATTTACACATTCACAAACAGCTATGGAATACTGAAGATGTCGACTAGAAATATTTTTTTTCTTACTGTTTTGGTGCCCTCTCTACCACGGCGCCCCTATTAGTGCCATTGCTTTCCCACTGAGTGAACCAGAGGAATTTCCTCATGTGACTACACCCCTAAAACATATTGTTGCAAGATTCTAGAGAGGAACTTTATCCTTAGATTTATCCTGCTTTTTTTTTTTTTATTACAACTGTACAGTTGTTGGAAAAAACACATACACACACACACACACACACACACACACACATCTTTGACTATTTTGTCTAAAGATTCTTAAAACAGCCTTTATATACACCACTTTGATGTTTTTGCATCTGACTCCAAGACTGATTCTTTGACGTTTATACCAAATGTGGAATTGTCCCTGTAGGTGCATTGATTTAAGAACAAGAGCGTCAATGCACAAGTCTGTTTAAAACAAAACAAAAGAAAACATTGGAGAAAAGTAGGAAGCGGTTACATAATCCACGAGGCTCAACAGGAAAAAGCTCTGAACTAACAGCAGGTATTGCTGCCAAATTATGTAACACCTTAAAAATCATAAAAGGGATTTTATCAGGATATTTGATGCAGTTTAACATCAAATCTACTTCAAGCTATTAGAATCCTTGCATTTATATATTGAAGAGGAATCAGCGGATGGAGAGGCGATGAGACGATGAGATAAATAGAAAAGGAAAGAACCCAACGGGTGAATCCTACTTTACTCCAGATTGCTTACCTCAGGTCAGTTGTCACAATGTGCAGAATTGAATGCAGGATTGAAAAGTTCTCAACTGAGTTTAAAAATGGGGGAAAAAAAGTCCTTTCTGCCCTGCTGGTTGAATTTTAAACAACAAACGAGTTCACTCGTAGCGTCGGGATCCAGCATCCGCTCGACGGCCGTGCTAGCATGTCGACGGCGGTCACTCCTATTGTTACGGCAGGCCCTGTCCAGGATGCAGCGAACATCCTCGAAGTGTTTACAGTTGTGAGGGGTGACGAGAGATAAATGAGTCGGGGGTGGGGGGGATTGTGAGAAGATGAGCATTCATGAATAGCAGCAGCAGCAGCCGTGTTCTTCCCGCTCCGCTTCACGGCGCTTGGTCAGCCGGCGAGAGCTCCAGGAAACAGATGTGGGCCCGATAAGAGCAAGAGGATGTGATACTGTGGTGTGCCATTTTTTTTTTTTTTCTGTGCAAGTGTGTGATTTCCTATTGTTAATCCATTTGTGTGTTCTCACACTCCCAGCTGCTTCCCTTTTTTTTTTTTTTTTTTTCCTTTTTCCCCAAACTCGACCTTTGGGACATTCTGGCCTGGGTCGCTCTCTCCAAGGAGAAGAGACCACGGCGACGGACGTCTCCACCCCGTTCAGAGCCGCCGAACAAGGCAGGAGTAAATCATGGTTGTTTATTCCATCGTCTCTGGCGATCTGCCAGCTGGGCCTTGCTTGCCGCTGACCTGCACCGTGCCTCGGTGTACCAGACAGCGCGCCCTCCCAACAGATTCTGAGCGGAGGAAACAGAAGGGATGTGAGTAAGCCTGCTGCAATCTGGCACTTTGGTGTTAGTAGAGATGGAAAAGCAAAGTAAATCACAGCTGTTTATCTGCATCTCCCATACACTGTTTGTATGAACCTTTGTGTGTGTGTGTGTGTGTGTGTGTGTGTGTGTGTGTGCGTGTGTGTGTATTAGCTCCGACAAACACACGCTTGTTCGACTCGTGATTGTTTGCAAGTGCAAACGTGAAGAAGGAATGAGTCACTGCTGGAGCTATTATGAGAGCTGCAAACACAGTCAGAACTGTACGGTACACACCGACCTGCAGCAGGGCATGTCTGAACTCTCCTTTTGTTAATAAACCACACTAATTAGCAGAAACAAAGTCTCGTTTATTGTGGCAGAACCTGACGACTCCTGCGAGATGCACATGTGGAAGTTCTGGCAGAGAAATTACACTTCTTGCAGCGCCTCGGGAAAACCGGTCAACCCGCCCGTACTTCTTCATGTAGAATGTGAAGAAGTATGGGCGGGTGTTTTACGACATATATAAGATGTCGCCTGACAGATTATTTGGATTTTTTGCAACAAGGAATATGATGCATTGTTATAACATGTCTTACAAACAAAAATTTAAATTGGTGTAAAGTGATTTATGTTCAGTGACTCCCCTTGAGTCAACACGCTCTGAGGCCTTGTCGACACGTATCCGGATATTTGGGAAACCAAGTGGATTTTTACGCAATTTGGCCTAAAATCCACACATAAAGTTAGTTTTAAATCTCTAAAAACGATCAGTAATACAAACTCCAACCAAAGTGGAGATTTGTTGAGTTCTCCTTATTGTACATTATAAACCTGAGATTTAGCCTTCTGCACCTTACAGTTTGTGACAAATAATGCGACAGTGAAAAATGACTGCTATCGGACAGGTGCTGATTTTTACAGTGGTTCAGACGCTTTTTGCTTGTTTGTTTTTATGAGACCAACTTCTCCAATACGCTGAGTTGCAAAGCAGAAAAGGTCATTTGAGGTCAGCTGTTTTACACCTACACAGAGGCACAACGCCTGTTCAACATCCGCAAACTTGCTTTGACACGATTCCCAGTCGACACTGCCTCGTGTTTTATGAACTTACATTCTGACCCTTTGTATCCATCCATGCAAGTGAACCTCCTGGTGCCATGTTTAATTCATAACAGGAAGTTTTGGTTGTTTTGAAGGATCGTGATTGGCTGATTCAGGTTTTAGCATTGACTACTCTGCCCCCTATGGGTTGGCATGTTAAAATCAACGTTCAGTGGCGTAATTCATAGGGTTCATGTGGACGAAGGCTTTTTTTAATAACCGGTCCCGTGTGTACAATATTATTTTTTAAATGCTGTGGTGGAGATATTCACTTTTATAAAGACCTGGCTATGTGTTTACAAGGCCTAAGAAGTGAAATGTTGAATTCACTTCTTTCAACTGATTCCACTAAAACTACTTTATAAAATGTAGAGCATCACGCATTTACTTTTAACGTAATCATTGAAGTAAAGAAAAACTGACTTCACTAAATCCAACATTGCAGATGTAAGTTTGCATAGCTTAATGCTGTGAAGTTAAATTTACCAGATACTAATAAAGTTTACTTAGGACAGTTTAGTTCAGTCCGAATTAATTTCAAGTGTTCTTGGATTTTGTTGATTGATTTTTAATACTTTCATGTCTCGGTTAAAGAACTGTCTTTAGTGGAACCAGCTGGGATAACTGGGTTACATAATTGTAAGGTTTACTTTTTTTTCCCATTAGATTAAATAAACAAATGTGACTAAATTAACTCACTGAACTTTATTTAAAAAGTCCGATTTATGAACAGTAAAAGCAAATATCCCACATTGGGACAAAATAAGCAAAGAAAAATAAATAAATAAAAGGTAAACAAATTACACAAATGGACTGGATGAAGAGCATCTGCGAACATCACTAATTAAATATTAGCAGTCTGTCTACCTCAGCTTAATTTAGAACTACTTTAAGTGCAGACAAAAAGTTTGTCCTTAAGACGTAGCAAACCGTGAAATAGATCAAGGGGTGTGAACATTTTTTTTTTTTTTGCAAGCCTTTAAAGATGCACAGCGTAAGCAGTGTAGTACATCGTTTTTCCTCCCATGCTGTGTGATTTCCACCTTTATCAGCCTCATAAAAAGGTGACCTTTCTATGAAATAAGCACAGGCGATCCCTCACATGAAGTTAATTCCATGTAGCATGATCCAGGTGTTAGCTTTGAATACCAACTCTGCTGTCTACTTCTCTTTTTTTTATTCTTATTTATTTATTTATTTATTTTACAAGCCTGCAACTTTACCCTTAGAGCAGGAAAACTTTACCCTTGGTGATGCCGACTTGGTGAGAGATATTCCTGTGTAAAATTCATGAATTCATAACTTTTGAGGGTATATTTCACTACTGATCTATTGGGCCGTGATAAGAATTCAAAGGTGAACGGAGCTGGAGGACATCTTCAAAGCGGTCGAGGACATCACAGGAAAGCCAATGAGGTGCGTTGCCCTCCTCCGACACCCTCGGAATACATTCCATGTGTCTCCCCTGCAACGCGATACGCTGTCAGAGGGAAGAAAGAAAAAAAAGAAAAAAAACGATGCCATCGGAGCCTGCTGCCATTAACTTGATTTACATGGGGTTTCAGTCGAAGGCTGACGAAAAAAATATAAATTGGCAGTGTCAGCAAATTTCAGTAAAATCTGTAAAAAGACCCAAAACGACAGGTGAAGAAGAAGGACGTTGATGGCGGCGCTCACAGGGAGGACGGAGTTAATCAAGTGGAAAGTGAATGCAGAGGCAGCAAACAGCATCCTGAGAAAAGTGTTTCTTGCTCTTTGGATGTTTTTAGGGTTTATGTGATCAGATCAGCACAGCTGGTTGTATTTATCAATTGATTTAGCTCGGAATTTGTTAATCTTAAAATCTGAAAAGTGCAGCATTCATTAGTATTCATCACAAACAGCTAATACTTATTTTAAACCACCTTATGCTGCAATTACAGGCAGACATAATTCGAGGTCAATCTATGAGCTTTTTAACATCTGGAGATTTTTCAGAGTTCCTAATTCTTAATTGGATCTACTTCTGAACTTTAACTAGGCCATAAAGTGACTAAAATGCAGCTCTACCTTTTAACCATTGTAGCTATTTTTAAGATGGGATGTTAAAAACGCTGACTTCATTTCTCACATGTAATCAAATGAAGTTTGTCAGACTTACTTTATTTATGTTTGTTTAACATAAATATATTTGCTTGGATAAACTTAAATTGATTGTTACAAATTAACTCATTTTTTAAATACTGAATTAGCTACTTTCTTTGCTCAGTGAACCAGTCTTAAGATTTTTATAGCCTCTAACAAATTTTCTTCCAAGGTTCCATCCATCCTAATAGTTTTTCTGCCAACAGATTATTTCACCTGAGCTGTGGAAAAATAACTATCTTAGTTAATGCCAATCTCTTAGTTTGCTTTTCTCAGCATTTTGCATGTAGCACAAGAATTTCATCTTTCATCTTCTGTTCACCGGTGTCCAATGAATCTCTGAGATTAAGGATGTTTTCACTTATGATTCAATTGGGGTCTAAAATTGCAACATTTGTCATATTTTCAGCTTGTGTGGTTTGCGTTCACATTTCATTGTGTCAAATGAACCAAACTGTTTGAAAAACATGTTAACCTCCTCACCTGTGGGGGCGCTGCACCAAGAACTACTGAAGAAGATGACACACAAACCTCTGAAGATGCTGAGTGCAACTTCCTTCTTCACAAAATGTAAGCAAAAATTGAGTAGCATCCGATTTTAGCCGTTATATGATTTCTTGTTTGTCACAGGTATAAACCCATAAGCCATGTCTCCTGATATCGCTACACTCCCATGTTTGTTTTGGTTGTACTTACCCAGAATGCCCTGCACTACACTCCACTTCCTGCTTTTGCAGCCATCTCCAGTCCACTTGCATCCACATACACAGAGTTCACTTTAGCCAAACCTATTTGTAAGTTTTTAGGCGAACCAGAGTTCAGTTTCTTTGGTCCACATCAGATTTCAGCTCTTTCCCCAAACAAACCAGACTTTTCAGGCAAACAAACTGGAATTTGATTAAACTAAACAGGGCTGGTGTGCATGCAGCCTTACTGCCATACAAGTGGACTTTTTTTAAATGTCCCTCAGAGGCCTAAGACCAAAACGTGTGCCAGTCTTACTAGATCTTTTTTGTTTTGTTTCGTCATCCACCACTTTAAAAGAAATGAAAACTTCACCAAACGGGGAAAAAATTTTGGAAGGAGCCCGACTGTTTGGGCACGATTTGTCAGACACGACATCTGCCGCTTCCCCTCTTCAGAGCCCCACTATCAAAGCTAACAGCCTGTAGCATGCATCAGCGGAGGCGGATAACCCCTGGTAGATACAAGGGAACAAGGAGACAATCAAAGGCAGTCGGCTCTACTGGAGGTGACAGTGGTCAGCTTCTGGAGGTGATAAAGGCCTTTGAACCTGGAAGCCGCTTCGGGCCCTCCCTTTGTGTCTCCCCTGCCTCCCTTCCCCTCTGTGTCTGGCCGTAGCGGGGTCAACTTTGATTCCGTCCTCTGGGGATGCCAGGCAGCTCTCTTCATCTCAGCTGGAGATAGAGAGCTTAAGAGAGACGCAGAGCAGGAGAAGGGATGTGTAGTCCACATCTATCAGATAGCGGTCCATCACCGGTGGCTGCTGAGCTGCAGGACGGGGGTCAACATGCTTGACCTCAAACACTTGACCGGGAATGCAGGAAGAACAAACAGATAAGAGCATCTGTCTGGTTGCTGACGACAGCAACCTGGCAAGCAGAGCGCTGCGGTTTTTTTCTTTTTTTTCCTTTTCCCTACCGTTAAAGCGTGCAGAATACATTTGTTTCCCAATTTGCCCAAGTACAGCTTAAACCGTCCCTTTGCAAGTCTATTAACGGCTGACTTAATTCATATTTCACGGCGTCGTTCAAGGCCCGTAATCTTCACCCCATTGAATTTTATGGCTCAGACCGTCAGACTCCACACCGCAGCTGAGTAAATATATTTCGCAAATGGAAAAGTCTCTCCTGCGAGGAGAAACCTCCCCAAGAGACGTGCAAGAGTACGGCTACGGAGGAGACCCTTCCGCGGTTCACGTCACGTCTGCCTGGAAAGCATGCCGTCTGCCTCAGCGGTTGATCCACATTGAATTCAGGTCTGACGGTTTCTGACTCTTCCCTCGTTTCGATTACATCAATCATCTCTGATTGGAGCAAAGTTCCACATTTTAAAATGTGACGATGCTGGATCCGTTTGCAGGTTTTCCCACAGAGTGAAACGGATCACAGGGCTTTGATTTTACTGTGGGAGAGGTGAAGGGTCGCTGGGGGCCCCGGTGGGGGGGCGACCAGGTGAGCCGTGCCTGCAGGGCAGCCATCAGTCTAGAGGCACCAGGATGAGTTCCAGAGCTCATCACGTCAATCCACCAGACTCACAAATCCCCTCTGTCCACCCTGCTGTATGTGTGCAGGCAGGGAAAACACAAATACAGTGGCTGGAAAGGAGCTTCATAATGAAGGCCTGTACAGTGAACATAAAAGCAGAGTGTAGAAAGAAATAAGGAAATGACAAGGGGCTCCAGATTTACATCATCAGCAAATGTGAGCACTTTGTTGTTGGATGTTTGCTAGTGACTCTTTGGACCTTTTGCAATGACATTACTAAAAAAATGAAGAGGAACCAAGTGATGTTTTTAAATATAGATATAATATACTTGTTTTAGCCGTTTTGAAACGCTTTCATGGTTTAATTGCATTGAATTTCCACAGTAGGATGCCGCTAAAAGTGTCAGTTATATTTTTTATATATTTTTTCTAATCTTTAATTTTGAGACTTTCTAAACTAGCATTGACCACAGATGTTATATTTTCTAATAACTATGTTTGTTACATTTTTTAATTGCCAAACTCATTATTTTTTTTGTTTTTTGTTTTGGGGCTGTAACATTCATTAATATATAAATAACACTTTGTTTTTAAATTATGACATGCAATTTATTTTATTCAAGTTACATCGTACTTACTTATGTAAGATTTTTTAATTTATTTTATTTTTTTACAAATATGGTGAAAATATGACTTTGAAACCACAAAATGTAATTCAAAGACACAAAAATAAAACCCTCATAGCAACACATGTAGGGTCGGGGAAGTGGAGAATTTGCTAGAAAAATTAAAGTATAAGTTTAATTTAATCTTAGAAATTTTCTCCACAAAAACATGCAATTTTTTTTTCATTTCGAAAGTCTTTTTTTTTTTTTTTACTTTTTCAAGATATTTTCTTGAAAATTCAAAAATTCTTGGCAAAATTATTATTTTTTTTCCAGCAGATTTTCCACTTTTAAAACTCACAAATTTCCAAGAATACGTTGCGGTACATTAGACAGCAGGAGGGTTAACAAGAAAAAATTCTTAAACATGCACGCAAATCTACATCCTAATAGCCTCAAAAAGAAAGTGATCAAATGGTTGCAATGACCCAAAGTGCAGAACTTCATAAGTGAAATGTATGTGAGCTGAGTGCCTGCAGACCTCACTGAAGCCATGTTGAAAATACTCTAGGCCAAAAATGACAAAATCAACAACAAGAAACTGATGAAGTCAAACAGAAAACTACTCTGGCGTTATTTTTCCCAGACGTGGTTGTGAAACCATTCAGTCTTTGGGTCTCTCTTCGTTTTCCCCCATGACTTCACATTCTCCACATGTAACGAAGCAGACACGGTGCAGTTTTTGCTTTTGCAAACTGATCTCTTGCAAGCAAGTCTTCTAACAAACCGAGTTCCGTCTGGTTTCATCTTTAACTCTGACTCCATTTTTTTTTTCTCATTTTTTCTGAAGCATCCGCCTCGCTGCTCATTTTAAACTCCACTGAGAGGCATAACCCCGGGACTTTTATGTATCTGCAAAAATGTGCTGAATGCTTCATTCTGTCCTGCAGCTAAGGGATCCTAAAACACCCAACCTACAAAACCAAATAAAAACAAAACAAAAAAAAACAAGCAAGAAGCTGTAAAATTGATTAATCCGGTCAATGACACTCAATATGTTATTTCTTGCACTTGTGACCGCTTGGGGCTAATGACTTGCCCTTTATTGGTAATTACGCGCAGTCCTCATCCTTGAACGTTGCACCTGTGTACAATGATATCTTTATATTTATCGCCTTTCTCTCAATCAAGCTAACAGAGAAGGAGAGGGTGGGCACGCTTGATGTGGCAAAGAAGAGCGAACATTAATTATTCAGAGCTCAAATCACAAAAATAAAGATAGCAAACCAAATTGTTTTGAAAAATTCCAGAGGAAAGAGAAATGTTGGCAAGCGTCCCGAAACGCTGTTTGAAAATGCTCTTTGAAGGTAATGAGGCTTGCTCGTGGCACGCAGAGGCAGAAAAGTAGCGCCACGGCGAAGCGGCGGCGCGTTCTCGACCGGGGTTTCTTTTTTTTTTTTTCTGCTTACATATCACTTTTGCGAAGGCACGTGTAGTACATTTCTAATGAAGTTCCAGATCACGCTCTTCCCCCTAACTAAGACCATACGCCTTTCAAAGCGAGGGATGTGGGCGAAGGAAGGAAGGTGGAGGAAGAAAAAAAAATAGAGCAAACTTTGC